CTACTACTACTACTACTACTCCTACTAATACTACTACTACTACTACTACTACTACTACTACTACTACTACTACTACCACTACTACTACTACTATACTACTACTACTACTACTACTACTACTACTACGACTACTACTACTACTACTACTACTACTACTACTACTACTACTACTACTACTACTACTACTACTGCGGGCTCTTTTGATCCGTCTGAGGGCCCTCTTTGGCCGTCCTTATGCGTTCTTGGGTTGTCTTGTGGGGCTTGGGCCGTCTAGGGGCGCTCTTGCAGATCCGTCGTGGCGACCCCCTACTTTCCTCCAGCGCATCTACAGAGGTTCCCACTGTAAAAGCCGCAAACGGGGGATGGTATTTTGACCCGGGACCCCCCCTTGCGACCCCCCGCGGGGCCCTCCCCTCCCCGGCGGGGAAGTGATCAAAGGGAAATGGCTTCCCTTCGACTCAATGACAAAATTGTTAATTTCGCTTTGGCTGGGTTGCTTCATTTCGCTTTGGCTGGCGCGCTTGAGGACGAGGGCCCATGGAAAGAGGGGGGAAGCGGCGACGGACCCAGAAAAGAAGACGACGAATACGTACGGGGACAACAACCACGACGAACATTGCATTCCACACGCCGACAGGGTCGGCCCATTCCCTCCTCCAGGAAGATGAGCAAGGATGAGGAGGAAGTGCTGACGGGGTTCCAAGGGTAGCGTGCTTTGGGGTGTGATGGTGATCTTGTCGTTCCAGCACTTCAAAAAATACTCGCCCTCCCGCTCAGTGTCGGTGCTCAGCCATCGGCCCGAGTCCGCGAAAAGCTGTGGGCAGGTGCACCTCGGCGGGCGGGACACGCATGTAAATGCTGTGCGCTCCCCGACCGGATGATAGGGCACTTCACAGACAAGGTGGTCCATGCGTTCTCCGAGACGCTCGCCCCCACGGCGCGCTCCACGAGAGTGTCGTACCCGAACGGGGACCGCTACGAGGGAGAGACCTGCGGCACCCCGCGGGCGACCCGCCACGGCTACGGCGTCTACCACTACAGGAGCGGGAGGGGCCGCTACGAGGGCGAGTCGGTCGACGGCGAGAAGCACGGGCACGGCATCCTCTTCTTCGGAGACGGGGACGTCTACGTCTGGGGGAGGGAAAAGTGGCAGAAGCATAGAAGATCTCGGAGGTCCGCGCGGAGGTCTCGGATCCGCGCGGGACCCCCCTCCCTGGCGCGCGGAGCGCCCCGGGGGCGGCGCCAGAGGCGCCGCCAGGGGGCCCCCCGGCGCCGATCCGAGCACTCCGCGCGGACCTCCGAGGTTTTGTGTTTCTGCCCTGATTCGTTGCCCTGACGTCGGCCAGTGGCGCAGCGACCGGCAGCACGGGCACGGCGTGCACGTGCACTGGGCGCCCCAGGCCGGCGTGTGGGTCTACGAGGGCGAGTTCCGCGGGGGGCAGCGCGAGGGCAGCGGCGCCCTCGTGCTCCGCGAGCGCGGGGCGCTGCTGGGCACCTGGGCCGGCGGCGCCCTCGCGCGCGGCGTGCAGGTGATGCCGCCGCCCGAGGCCGAGGCTGATGGGCCGATGTTCCACCACCACTGCCATGGCAGGAGAGAGAGGAGGAGGCGGAGGAGGAGGAGGAGGAGAAGGAGGAGGAGGGGGAGGAGGAGGAGGCGGACCTTCCCAGCCTCCCTTCTGCCCCGTCCGACCTATGGTGTGGTGGTGGTGGAAAACTGGCCCCTCAGAGGCCGAGCCGGGCGAGGTCGGCGCCTGGGCCATAGGGGTGGACGCCCCCGGCGAGCTGCCGGACGCGCTCGGGGTCCACGGCGCCGCCGCCGGCGCCGCCTCGGGCGAGCAGCGCGGAGCAGAAAGCGGCAGGGAGAGCACGAGCTTCCGGGGGGTCCGCGCGCGGTTCTCGGATCGGCGTTGGGCCCCTCTGGCGGCGCCTCCAGCGGCGCCGCAGGCGCGCGCCGCGCGCCAGGGCGGGGGGGTGTCCCGCGCCGCTCCCAGGGAAGCCTCGCGGAGCCTCTGGAAGCTTGTGCTCGTGGCGTTGTCTGCTCCCTCGGAGCAGGGGGCCGCGGCCCGTACCCCGCTCGGCCGCAGGCCGGGCAGCTGGAGGGCCGCGGAGGTGCTGCTGTGGCTCCGCGGCCTGGGGCTCGAGGAGGCGCCCGAGCGCGCCACGCTGCCGCTCAGCGGCGAGCAGCTGCTGGCCGCTCAGGACGCGGAGCAGCTGGCCGCACAGTGCCACCAGAGCGAGGACGCCACGGAGCTGGCCCAGTCCTGGCGCCGCACGCTCGCCGCCGCCCACTCCGCCCTGGTCGGTGCCGCGGTCCGCTCGGAGGGGCGCCTCGATAATTGGGAGGACTTCCAGAACCGCGTGGCCAGCGTTGGAGCCAGCTGGGGGGTTCTGGGGTGCCCCAGCACAGGGTCCGGGCAGCAGGAAAGGGGGGGCAGGTTCGGGGTTCTGGGTTCGAGGCGATTCGTCTCCTTTTTCACCCCCTGGGGGCCGTCTTGGGGCCCCGGGACCGTCAGAAACGGGTCCGGGCGAGCAACCCGGGGAGAGAGGAACCGTTCATGAACGGATTCGGCGCCATCCCCCCTCGGGACCGATCTTGCGTGGGCCCCTGCCAGCTCAGACCCCCTGGCCGCCTCCAAGTCCAGCGTCAGAGACCGGATCATCCCGCTGGCGGAGCTCAGTGTGTCGAAGGCCCCCGACGGCGCTGCACGCGTGCAGACGGGCAGTTGGAAGAGGCTCACAGTGGAGGTCTTCTCCCTGCCGCTGTGCCTGCCCTTCGCGCGCTCCAGCCGCGCTTCCACCATGATGGGCCTGCTTTCCACCACCACCACCACCATAAGTTGGATGGGGGGAAGGAGGAGGAGGAGGAGGAGGAGGAGGAGGAGGAGGAGGAGAAGGAGGAGGAGGAGGAGGAGGAGGAGGGCCCCCTCCCCCTCCAACTTATGGTGGCGGTGGTGGAAAGCAGGCCCATCACACCAGCCTCCCGCACGTGTCGACCGTCGCGGCGCAGGGCTGGGCGCGGGATCTCGAGGTGCTGGCGTCCCTGCACGGGCACGCGAACATCCGCAGCCTGCTGGGGGTGACGCTGGTCCCGCTGGAGGCGCGCCCGGGCACGGCGGCGCTGGCGCTGGTGCACGAGGCGTCGGCGAGCGGCAAGCTGCTGTTCGAGTGGATCCACGCCAGCCTGCCGGACGGCAGCAGGCGGCCGATGGATTTCCGCTCGCAGCTCCGCATCTGCATCGGCCTGTGCGACGGCCTGAAGGCGCTGTCGTCCAAGGGCCTGTCCCTCGGCGCGCTCTGCTCTGTCAACGTGGAGCTGGCGGTGATCGGGGGCCAGCTGGTTCCCAAGATCATGCGTGCAGGCGCCTCTTGGTGGCGCTGGGGCTGGCGCGAGTCCCTCCGCGCGCGCGCGGCGGGGCAGCCGCGCCAGCAGGCGCAGACTGTGCAGGAGATCGTCCGCAGATACGCCGCGTGCCCCGTCAACTGGCTGGCGCCCGAGGTTCTGCGCGGCGGAGAGCCTCACGAGGCCGCCGACATCTATTCCTTCGGCCTTCTCGACTACACGTAAGAGTGACCCTTCGCCAGAGTGACCTTGCGTGCGGGCCCACTAGGGTCCCCCGATCGCCGAACGCGGTGCGGAAGTAGCGGTTTGCGCGCTTGGCCACCAAAAAAACTGCGCACCAAGGGTCATTATTACCCAGGGTCATTCTTGCGTGTAGTCGACCTTCTGCTGTGGGAGATGCTGTACAGAGCTATTCCTTTCGGAGATTATTCCATCGCGCAGATCGTCGGTGCGGTGGGCTACGGTGGGCGGCAGGTCCGCGCAGTGGCTTCTCCTGGCGCCTCCACGGAGACAAGCCTGCTGCACGAAGCTGTCTCCCGCTGCGCGCAGGGCGAACCGGCAGGTCGGCCCTCTTGCGCCAGGCTGCTGCAGACTCTGAGAGAGACGTCGGAGTTGTTCGAGCGGCGCAAGGCGAAGCGCAGCGTTTTGGGCAAGTTGGGAGACAAGGCCGAAGGCTTCCTGGCCTCAAACCTGCTGTCCAGCGGCCTGCAGCGGAGCCTCTACGGCTCCGACCTGGTGCCGCGGGGAGCCGCGGCCGCCGCCGCCGGCGTGGCCGCGGAGCCCGACGAGGAGGGCCCGCGCATGGTGCGGTTGGCGTCCGGTGAGTGGGTACAGGTGGACGAGGACCTTGTCGAGACGTTCCCTGGGGACGAGGAGAAGTGGCGGGCGCTGATGGAGTTTCGCGCAATGTTGCCTGCAAGGTCCTGAGCGCACAGTGGGTGGCAGTCAAGCAGCGGACGGGGCACTCGTTTGAGCACTCGGGCGAGCGACAGCTACGGCGCCCTGGTCGGACGCAGTAGTCTTCGAGAAAAGGGCGCCCAGACGTGCATTCGGACCTCCAGTCTCGACGCGGATGACCGATCTCAGGTCTCTCTCCGTGGCTCCCAGTAAAATACGTATGGCAAGTGGTCACCGCTGCAAGAGTCAGTTGACTGCTTCAAACGCCAGCACCAAGTTCGCGCTTGTTCCCAAGCCCTCTTCATCCAGGAGGGACGAGCGAAGTTCCAAGCGGATGCCCTAGGCTGACTTACAGGCGGAGGAATACTAGGGAGCCTACAAGAGAGGATGGGGATACCTAGACTGGTGTTTCATCGGCATCTTGGGGGCAATCGGGGGCGGGGGGGCAGGAAAAAACAATGCGGCCAAAAAGTGGTTTTACATGGGCACGTGGCGTATAGCCAGCAAAGCTTGTGTCTCACAAGTGTAGGAGAAACTAAGCTCAGGACAGGAGCAAGACAATGCCCCCAAGCACGAATACCGTACTAGATGAAAACGTTCGCGGCAGCACATGTGTCCACGACAGCAGTGTGCGGGTCCGCGCGACGGGTGTTAGTCAGACCCTTCGGCGTGCAATCACAGCATTTGGCTAGAATCTACCTTTACTTGTTTGTCCGTGCTCTGAAACCATACAGAACACGTGTTTGTACACTGCTTTACAGGTTATGCACACGTGTGCTCACAAAGATGGGTGGACAGGTTCGGTTGGTGAGAACGGAAGATAGATGGAGGACCGCACGGTTGGGGATATTTGTGTACGCGTTCATTGGCGGTTCGGGTTGCGCTACTTAACGCGCGCTTGCAATGGTGAAAAAATGAAGACAGAGAACAGGAGGGAGCAGGAGGATGAGGAGAAGGAGGAGCAGGCACAGGAGGAGAACGAGGAGACCGCACGTACCCATGATTGTTCAAGCCCCGGCGCTCTTGGGACGCACTCTGGGCGAGGGCGCCGCTAGCGGCTCGCTGCCCGCGATGCGGCGGCGGCGGCAACGGCGGCGAGGGGCGCAATGAGCGGCACCGGTGGCGACGTGAGGCTCTTCAGCGTCGAGGGGCGCGAGTTCCGCGTAGACTGGGCGGACGTGGCCCGCTTCCCGCGCTCGGTGCTCGCGTCGCAGGCCTTCGCGGAGACGGGCCGGGAGCCCCAGCCGGCGCAGCTCCCGGGCCGCAGCGCGCAGTTCTTCGGGCTGGTGGCGGAGCTGCTGGCCGCGGGCGCCCAGCACGGCCCGGACAGCCCGGGCTCGGCCGCGGCCGGCCGCGAGCCGTTCCGGGTCCCGGCGGAGTGGTGCGACGGCGGGGAGATCGGGTGTGGCCAAGAGAGGGATGATGATTAGAGGTGGGGGATGAGGAGGAGGAGGAGGAGGAGGAGGAGGAGGAGGAGGAGACGGCCAGCGCCATGAGATCTCCACAGATGTCATGGCCCTCCTTTTTAGTTGCAGGACGTGCCAGGCCCCCCTTGGTCCGCGCACGTGCCTCGGGCCACGATCGGCGAGCGCCCCCTCTCTCGGACGCCCCTCCTCCTGGACGCGCCCGAGGAGGCCCGAGGAAGAAAAAGCGGCGTGCGCGTGAACCTTCGGGGCCCCGCGCGGAATTCCTGGATGTGCTCTGGGCCCCCCTGGCGGCGCCTCCCGCGCCACGGGGGGGTGGAGGGGCGGGGGCGCCGATCCAGCAGATCCCGCGCGGAGCTCCGAAAGTCTGCGCCCACGCCGCCGTCTGTTCCTCCAGAGAGGGAGGCGCTGTTCTGGAGGGAGGCCGAGTTCTACGGCATCTTCGAGCTCGAGGCGGGCATGGCGTCCCTCGTCCTCGAGAGGCTGCTGCGGGCGTACCTCCGCCGGGGCCCCGAGGGGCGGCGGGCCTTCGGGGCCTGGCCCTCGAGGGACCGGCACCAGCTGTGGGCCTCCCTCTGGGTTGCCCTGCGCCTGCAGAGCGGCAGGCGCGTCGGGGAAGCGCCAGACGCGAGCACGCCGGAAAACGACCCCCGAAAATATGGGAACATGTGGGAAGTGGGGGGGGAGACAAAAGACCCAGAAACTATGGGAAAAGAGGGGGAATCCCGTTATTTGTGTGTGTATTTGTTTGTGTGCCCCGGCGCTCTTTCTGCTAGGGGGGGGGGGGGCGTGCGCGTCCGGGCGTGGCTCAGCCACGCGCAGAGGGGGGTGGGGAGAGGGGGGAGGGCTTCTGAGAAGCGCCCCCGCTTCTTAGAAGGCGCGGGCCTCATCTATAGATGCAAGGCCGGCGCCTTCTGAGAAGCAGCCGCCTTCTCAGAAGCCTTCCCCCCTCCCTCCACCCCCTTGTGCGCGTCCGGGCGCTGCACGGTCCAGTGTTCGTGGGAGGTCTGTCGCGGGAGCTCGCGTCGAGTTTCGGATCGGGCCTCGTGACTGCCCTGCTGGCCCCGTCGGGACGGCCCGCGTCCCCCCGAGCCCGAGCCTTGCGTTTCCACGAAGGTGGTATTCCCGAGAGGAGGTCGACGGCGTCATCAGAGAGCACCTCGTGAGCCCGGAGGCGCCGCTGGTGGACGCGGTGCGCATGGAGCTGCTCCGCCGCGGCCTCGTGGCGCGCCGCGGGGAGGACGACGGGCCTCTCCGCCTGCAGGAGGAGACTGTGCGCTGGATCCTCGATGGGGACAAGTCGGCCACGCGCAAAGGGAGGGTAGGGGGAGGGATCGACGCGCGCCTTCTAGGGTACCCTTGTGTCCTTGCCTCTGAGGCCCGTCCTTGCCATTATCATTGGTCGCCCGCCGCCCAAAAAAAAACAACTTCGGCCTCCAAGGGTCTTGCGTCCTTATCACCCGTCCTCACTATACGTTTTCACTGTACAGTGGAGACCCATGCCAAGAATCAACCTGCTTGCCTCCAGGGTGCCCTGGGTTTCTTGGGTTTCGATGGACGGTTCTGCTATGGACGGCGTGACCTTGCCCACGCCAAAGATCAATGGACGTCGTCTCTCTTGGAAGGTCTCTTGTGGTCGAACCTCCATTGCATGGTCGACTAGACGTAAGAGTGACTCTTCACCAGAGTGACCATTGGTGCGGGCCCACTGGGGTCCCCCGGTCGCTGAGCGCGAAGCGGTGGCAGCGGGCTGCGCGCCCAGGGTTGGCCACCCCGTGTCCCCCGCAAAGCCGCGCACCAGAGGTCGCTCTTGCCCAGGGTCACTCTTGCGTGTAGCCGAAAGGGGGGACGGCTTCTTCTGAGACGGAGACTGCTTCTCGGAAGGCGCCGGCCTTGCACCTGCAGACGAGGCCCGCGCCGTCTGAAAAGCAGGCGAGCTTCCGAGCAGCCTTCCCCCCTCCCCCCTTACCTCCTCGCGCGCGCCGCCAAGCGAGATGTTCCGGGCGCGCCGGCCCGAGGCGGCCTCCGCCTGCGACTTGCCGTGGTGGTCGTGCCCCCTGGCGACGCAGCACCTGCTGCTCGCTGCGGGGCCGCCGCGGGGCGCGCCCGGCGCGCCCGCGCCGCTGTCCGCGGCGGACGTGGCGGCGCTCGGGCAGGCGTCGGACGAGGGTGCGGCGTTCACCGGATACAGGTGCGTGTTCATGGAGCCGCTGCCTGAGGGAGCTGCCGACGGCGTGCACCCCGACGAGCTGCGCGCCGCTGCGGTGAGCTTCGTCGCGGCGGGCCCCGCCGGCAGGCCATCGGCGCAGCACGGCCAGCGCAGGGCGGTGCTCGCGGAGGGGCCGTGGCGCTTCGCGGCCGTCGAGGAGCTGTTCGAGGCTCCCTTCGCTTGCGCAGAGGTCTCCGTGTCCATCGCGACTGCAGCGGGCTCCTGCGGTGACCAGGCCCCGCGCCTCCCGCCGCTCCGAGTGGACGTCTCTGCAACGGGGGAGGGCGCCTGGCGCACGGCGTGGTGCCAGGCGATGCCGCCGCGGGACGACGTGCTCAGCCAGGGGAGGAGCTTCGCCAGGTGCTTCCTGCCCCACGCGGTGCCAGAGCTGCGGCCGCCGCCGCTGCCCGCCGCCTGGGCGCCGCGGGGCGCCGCGAAGCCTGGGCCCCGAGGGGGGGACCTGCTGCGGGAGCTCGAGGCCGCGGCGGGCGCGCAGCCCGCCGCCGAGCTGCTGGCGGCGCTGGGCAGGGCCCACCTGGAGTGGGCCCTCGGCCCTGCTGCTCTGGCGGACCCCCGGGGCGCCGTGCTCGTGGGCAGCCCGCCGCTGCTGGCGCAGTGGCCCAAGACGGGGGAGCGAGCGGCGGCGTAAACCCAAAAAAAAGCTCGGAGGTCCGCGCGGATGGCTCGGATCGGCGCTGGGGCTCCCCTGGCGCCGCCTCCGGCGCCGCCCCTGGCGCGAGCCGCGCGCCAGGGAGGGGGGGGGGCCCGCGCCGATCCGAGCAATCCGCGCGGACCTCCGAGTTTATCCGTTCATGTCCCTGTCAGCTCCCCCACAAGAGGGACCTCCAGCAGCACCAGGCCACGCTCTGGCTCACCCTGCACCTCCTGCCCGGCAGGGTGTACCAGGAGGCCGAGGTCGACTGGGTGATCGCGAGGCACCACGCGCCCGCCAGGCTGCCGGACCTGCCCACGCTCCGCAAGGAGTTCCAGCGCCGGGGCCTCGTGGAGAGGCAGGCGGGCGGCGGCGGCTTCACGGCGTCGCCCTCGGCCGTGCGGAGCGCGCTGGAGGCGCTGCTGGGGCTGCGGCCGGCATGCGAGCGTGGGCGCGGGGCGCCCGCGCCCGCGTAGGCGGGGCGGGCCTCCCTTCGCGTCTGCGGTCGTTTGTTGTGAGTGCGCCACGCTCCAGGTGGGCGCAAGAGAAGGAGCAGGGAGGGGCGGCAAGCGCGAGGAGGGAGGAAGGAGGGGGTGGAGAGCGGGAGGGAGGAAGTAGAGAGAGAGTACAGGAAGAGGGGAGGGGGGGGACGAGGAGGAGGAGGAGGAGGAGGAGGAGGAGGAGAAGGACGGGGGGGGGAGGAGGAGGAAGAAGGGGGGAGGCAGAAGAGGGCAGATCCAAAGAAGAGTAACGATGAAGGAAGGAGGAGGGACCCAGGGGATGGAAGAGAGATGAGAGATGAAGGCGGGAGGAAGGAGGGCAGAATGAGGGGAGACGCTGAATGAGGTGGGAGGGAGGAGGGCAGAGGCGGAGGGAGGAACGACGATGAAGTCGTGGGGAGACAGGAATGAAGGGGCGTGGGAGCAGGGAAGAAGGGAGGGAGGAGGGAGGGGAGATGACGGAGGAGCGACGGGGGAAGAGGGAGGACTGATCCTGGAACGAGCAGCAGACACCCAAACCGGAGTTGAGGACCCTTAAGGGCTTCTGCTACACGGGAGACTAAGACAGTTGTCGATTTCTCTCGTGTTCTGCAGTGAGCAGCATACGCTCGTCTGGAAGGCTAGGAGTGGTGCACATGCTGATGTATGGGCTGGCTCGGGCAACACTGCAAACAAAGGAAAAACACACAGAAACATGAAGCAGAAGTCTTGGCCTAAGACGGGCGCAGGTTGTGTGTCAGGTGTCAGCAGGAGCAGGCAGTAGCAGCACTCGCGCTGGGCAAGAGTGCTCATTTCTTGATGCTATGAGGAGTTCTGGCCGTCCACCCACATTCTGCGGCAGGATCTGCGATTTGGGAGGATGGGGGAAGGGAGAGTGGGCGTTCGTTTCTGCGCTCCCGTGGCTCGATTAAAACATCGTGTGAGTGACTCGTTCGGCTGATGATCGGATTCTTTGCGGATGGCCATATTGCACGATGCACCGCGGCCGATTTGAGTCTCAAGAGGCTTGTCAACGAACGCGGGCCCGATCATGGCGCATGATGTAGGGGAGGCCCGCAGGGCCCTGCAGGGCGCGCCAGTGAAAGGCCAGTGGGTGCGGGCGGTCCTTCTGCGTCGGCGCTGTGCATACGTAGTGTATGCCTGGACCTCCGTCGCATGCTTTCACGATGTTCGTGTACTGATCGTGTGACATTGTGGGCGCGCGACTGCCAAAACACTTCCCCGAAGGTGATGAGAGCAGGCGGCAAGCGTGCAGCGTTCACCTCCGCATATGGGCGCGTGTGAATTTGCATTGGCATGTGAACTCCATGTATGTGGGCCATCCGCACATCTGTAGTCTTAGTCATAATATGACGGCCCCCAAGGATCGGCGCAATTCACGCGCGGGTTGCGTGAGGGTTGGCCCAGTCCTGAAAAGCAAGGGCTCCGAGGGTGGCCCACGGTATCGACTCGTCAGTTCTGACGGCGGGTCTGGGCGAGCGGGCCGGAGCCGCGTGCTCGGCCTCGCGTCCTTCATTTGCGTTCACGGCGACGACGACGACGACGACGAGGACGACGAGGACGACGACGACGACGACGACGACGACGACGACGACGACGACGACGACGACGATGAGGACGACGACGACGACGACGACGACGACGATTTGTGCTCGAGCTTCCTCTGGCTCCACGGGGGGCCGCCGCCGGGGGCCCTCGAGGGGCCTCCGCGTCAGCAGCGCAGGGCGGCGTGGCGCTACATAGCACGGGCGCCCCCGCCTGGCCGCGGCCGATCGGCTCACCCTGGGTGCTCCCAGGGCGCACGAGGGGGGCCCCGGGCGCGGCGCTGAGCGGGGGCGGCGGTGCGGAGGCTTTTCGGGGGCGGAAAAGAGGGGGGTGATGACTAAGGGGGGGGGGGGATCTCATGGCGGGGGCCCGCGCCTGGCGCGGCCGAGGCTCACCCTGGGCGCTCCCAGGGCAACAGGGGCCCGGGGCGCGGCGCTGAGCGGGGGCGGCGGTGCGCAGGCCTTTCGGGGGCGGAAACGAGGGGGGTGATGACTTGGGGGGGGTGATATCATGGTGGGGGCCATGATATTTCCCCAGGTTTCAGGGCGCCTCTTCTTATTTCGTTACGTCCCTGGCCCCCCCGCGGGGCCGCGCACATGCCGCCGGTCATGATTTGCACCCCCTCCTCTTGGACACCCCCCTCTTGGCCGCTCCCGAGCCTTGGGGGGGAACCTCGCACGCGCGGGAAGGAAGAGCGGGTGCCCGAGGAGGCAGCGCGAAGAGTGCAGTGTCAGCAGCGATGAGATGCACCACACCGCTGGACTGCGTCGTCGCCTCGAGTGTGGTGGCCGCGGTGGGGTAGCTCGGCGCGTCTCTGGGGCGTAGGCTGCTACGGCAGCTTCGCAGCAGAGGTCAACTTCGAGCACACGCCGTTCGATGATCATGAAGGCGATGTCGACCACGATTGGGCTCAGAGTTTCGACGCGCAGGCGGGCCACCATTCGGGCGGAGAGCTAAAAGAGACTCGCGAGAAAAATGATGTTGATTGCGAAACGTCCCTCCAGACCAGCAGAGGGCTGTAGGACAGGCCGGGGAGATGGAGGCCCCCTTGGAGAGGGTCCCCGCCTGTGCCGATCCCGAAGAGTAGGAGGACAAGCATGCTGTTGCCACATCACCTTCGCTTCTACCCTCGCGCAGCGAGCCGCACGTGGTCCACTTTTTTGGTCTACAGCCATCACGACGAGGGCATCCGCAGAGAAGAGGAGTTCGGGGAAACAGCGGAGGAGCTGCCCAGGATGGCGGGGGGCGGCCCCCCAGAGGGCCCTCCTGTCCAGGAGCTTGCTCAACAGGCACCCCCTCGGCGGCGCGGCAAAGGCAAGAGTTCGCCTGGCCCCCCTGAGGATACCACCGGCGAGGGCAGCTACGAGCGTTGTGGGCTGCCCAGTACAGTGGTAGCGAATCGTCTGCAGTGGCTCGGGGGGGCTCGGGTACACGTGCGGCGCTTTGCTGACGGTTCATTGTCTGGTCGGCCTGGTCAATGCTTGCGGCAACTACCTTCTAGGTCGCTATTGAGAGTGCCTCAAGCACGCGGCGGTAGCATCGGCGGCCACACTCATTGTCATGATGTTCTCGTCCGTCATCAGCATCACTGCCTGGATCGTGCATCGAATAGAAATTGGACCCTGTACCAGGCAGTTGTTGGCTGTGCTGGGGATGACGAGATGGGCGCGACCTCGCAGCTCGCACAAGCTGGCTCCGAGGAGGAAGCCTTGAGTTGGCACTGGCCAGACGGCCAGCTCCCCTTCACGAGGTCAGGGCACAAGGAGATCAGATGTTGCCCAAGGACTTGGTCGCGCGGCTTGGAGGCGCGGTTGCTAGGTTGGAGCAAACACCGCCGCGGCGAAGTCGGACAACGAGACGAGGCCACGCATGCCGGTTCACCGACGTGCGCGGCTGAACCCACCGCCACCGCAACAATGATTTGGAAGCTACGCGCGATGAAATGGGAGTTGGGTTGGTTCACCTGAGAGCCGCACCTGATTGCACCCTTCCCAATGATGGCAAGAAGATCTTGCGCGTCCCACGACCGCCGACCACGGACAAGTGCTGAACGTCACTGACCTACACGGGCTCACCCCAGCCGGGCGGGCTCGTGGAGGCAGGCGGCGCTGTTCGCGGCTGGAAAGCGGGGCGGACCGCGCCTTTCGGGGCGCGCGGCGTTGCTGCGCCAGCAGGCGGCAGGGGCACAGGAGTCGGGAGGACGGCAAGCCCAAGGTTGAGGCGATGGACCCCGACGTCGAGACGGAGCATGAGCCCGGCGACGGGGTGCGCGAGGCGGATCAGATCGATGGATCCAATCAGATTCTGTACCCCAGGGCCCCGCGCGCCCCGGGCCCGTCGCGGCGTTGGCGGGGGGCGCGAGCATCTCCGACGTCCGGGAGTTTCCAGAGGCGGAAGGCGCCAGATCCCGCAGGGCCTGCCTCTTTCCACGCCCAGGCCCACGAGGCTCAGGCGGCCCCGGGGGAGCGCGCGAGGTTGCACTGACACCGCGAGAAGTCCGCGGAGAAGAACGGCGACAGCTCGCGCAAGTTGCACGCGGCGGACCGATCGGCGAGCAATCCAGCCAAAATCTCTCCGCTGACATTCGGGCCTCCGCGCCCCAGCGCGAAGGTGATCACGCGACCCGCCAATCCTTCGGCGAAGAAGCATGGCTGGGTAGTCGAAGGCCAGACTGTCAGATTGGATTGGGCCCCAAGGGCCATTCTGGCAAGGCCAAACTGGATGATTTGGGTTATTCGCCAGACTGGATTCGCGTTGGCTCCCTCGCCAGATTGCCCCCGTTTGCCAGATTGGGCCTGCCAGATTGGCGTCAGATTGGCTTCGACTACCCAGCATGGGGGCCCGCGGCGGCCGACGCGCGCGAGGGGCCCTCGGGGGGCGGGGCGGAGGCCTCGCCCCCCCCTGACCAGCCGGGTAAAAAGGGGCGCGGGGCGGGGCGGATGCCGAGATCCTTCCGACCCGCCGGGCGGGTCAATGATTGACGGTAAGTTCAAGGTAGATTACGATTCGTTAGATTAACTGACGGGGCGGGGGCTTTTCTGGCATCAGTTAAAGGTATCCTTCCGTCAGTTACATTCAACCGGCCGCCAGCTATCTTGAATTGACGGTACGTTACCGTTACCTGACCTCCGATAGAAGGTAAGTGGCGGTGAGTTATGTGCAACTGGTGGTGCGCTATAACTAATTGGCTGTGAGCTACCTTCCACTGAACGTCACTTGAGGCTAACTGGCCGCCCGCTGAAAGGTACCTGACGGCGAGTTCTTCTTCAATTGACCGTCAGTTACCTTTGACTGCACGTCAGTTACACATAGTTGGGCGGGACGGGGCGGGGGGGGCGGAGGCCGAGTTGCCTCTCACCCGCCAGATGGGTTGCGTTTCATTGACGGCCAGTTAAATGGAACTAACAGTCAGCGCAAAGGGAATCCACCGCGAATTACCCCTGATGGAACGCCAGTTCAGAATAACGGACGGGCACTTCAAGATAAGTCACAGTGAGCGCAAGGGAGCTCACCTTCAGCCACCCTTAACTGACCGCCCGACACCTTTTAATGGGCCGTCTGTTGAACGCAACTGGCCGCCCAAAGGTAACTGGAGAGGAGCTACCTTTAACTGACCGTCTGCTGTTTGTTTTCATCTATTGTTCTAAGAAATTTGTTTTACATGTTTGATTATTTATACATGAATAAATATATATATATAATAATATATATATATATAAAAAAAAAAAAAAAAAAAAAAAAAAAAAAAAAAAAAAAAAAAAAAAAAAAAAAAAAAAAAAAAAAAAAAAAAAAAAAAAAAAAAAAAAACGCCACTTACAGGCAGTTCCCGGACGGGGCGAGGGGCGGGGCAGGAGGCGGCGCAGAGGCCGAGATGCTTCTAGCACGCTGGGTGGGTTACCGTTAAAGTGGCGGTCACCCAGGGATAGAGACCGTCAAAGTCCGGTTGAAAATATACTTCGCTGGCGCTCAATCACCGGCATTTCCGCTCGCTACCATTCAGTGGACGCCAGTTATTTCTTGAGGCAGCCGTCATTTGACCGTAGATGACGGCATGTGACCTCATTTATCTGACCGCCGGTACAGGTAATTGTTTGTGGGTTACTTTTAAGCGACCGTCACTTCCAGGCAATTGGCATTCAGTTTCTTTTACATGGCCGTCAGTTGCCTTTTTTATTGAACGTCAGTCAGAGCAAATTTCCGGGTGGGGCGGGGGGTGCGGCGGGGGCGCGGAGCGGAAACCAGGTTGTTGTTGTTTTTTAACCCGTTGGGTGTGTTTTTTCACGGACCGTCGGTTGAGGGCAATTGATAGTACATTAGATTCAAATGACCGCCAAGTGAAGGGGATAATTGTGAGTTACCTATCAGTGACTGTCAGTTACTTCTGAGCTGGACGTCAAGTAAAGGTGGCTGACGGTGACGGTCAGTCACCGTTAAGCGAGGTGAGGTACCTTCGATTAAGCGTCAGTGAAGGTAACTGATTCTGAATTATTGTTAAATGGCCGCCAGTTTGAGGTAGCCGACCGTCAGGTCAAGTTAACTGCTTGTGAGTTGTTGTTAACGGATCGTCCATTATCTCTTCTTGGACGTGAGGTAAATGGTAATTCCCAGGTGCGGCAGAGCACGCGGTGGGAAGCGGGGCGGAGGCCGAATTATTTCTCGCCCGCCTGGTGGGTTTTGATTGACAGCTTTTTCAAAGGTACTCGACGGCCTGTTAACGGTAAATGGCGGTGGTTTTCTTGAACGAACCGCTAGTGGAAGGCATTTTACGGTCAGCCGAAAACATTGATTTGGTTGCAAGCTACTTGCATTTTACCGTCACCCACCGTGCAATGACGGTCAGCTAAAGGAAACTGACAGTCAGGTAAAGGTACTTGACGGTGAGCTACCTTTTGATGACGGTTAGTTGGAGGCAGCCGACCGTCAGTCAAGGTAGCGCACGGTCCGGTAAAGGTAATTCACCGTCCGCTATTTTTGTTGATTTGACCGTTGTTGATTTGACCGTTAGCTACGTTTTACTGGCGTCCAATTACAGATAATTGACAGTGAATTACCTTCAAACGACTATCCGTTAAAATGTACCCGACAGCGCGATACATCTAACAGGCCGTCGGTGCCAGGTAACCCACCGTCCGTTTCCTTGACATGACCGTGGGTTATTTTTCGTTGACCGCCAGTTCATGGTAGCATTTTCAAGGTGTTTCACCGTCAGTCACCTCGAAGTGAAGGCCAGTGAAAGGAATTCGATTGTGAGTGCATGTTACATAACCGTCAGTTAAAGCAAATTCGCAGGCGGGGCGGGGGACGGGGCGGGGAGCGGGACCGAGGCCGAGTTACCTCGAATTCGCCTGGTAGGTTACAAGGAGTTCACGGTCAGTTCAAGGTAATCGGCGGTCAGCTAAAGTTTGTTGATTGTGAGTTACGTGTAACGAACGGTCAGATACAGATAACTCACACACACACACACACACACACACACACCGTCATTTCAAGGTAACCTACGGTGAATGTACCTTAGCTGGCCGTCAGTTGAAGGCAACAGCCTTTGAGCTATCTGTAACTAACCATCGTTTGGTCGTCCGGTAAAGGTATGTGGCCGCCTGTAAAAGTCGGTTGGTTGTGAGTAGCCTCTAAGTGACCGCCAGTTACCTTTAACCTTCGGTATGTTGGCCACCGGTTGTGCCTCTAAGTGACCACCGGTTGTGAGTAGCCTCTAAGTGGCCACATACCGTTATACTACGGTATGCTGAAGGTAAGTCACCGTCAGTTACCTTTGACTGACCGTCAACTACATATAACTAAGCTAGCTGACCGCCAGTTAAAGGCCACTGGCCATGAGTTACATTCTTACTTGTACGACGATTCAATGAAATTGCGGGAAACACCCTGAAAACGGAAACGCTAGTTCCAACGGCGGGTTTGGGCCCGAGGGCCCGGGCCGCGTTTTCGCCTTGTTGTCCCTTCCTCGCCCCTCTCTGTAATGCTCAAGTCTTTTCTGGCCCCTACGGGGGCCGCCGCCGGGGGGCCCGAGGGGCTTCTGCCGCCCGCCCGCCCACTCGCGCAAGCACGCGCTGCAGGGGGTCGAGGCCAGTCTTCGCCCCCCCGTTTCCACAGCCGGGGGGCGGCACGCCGTCGACGCGAGGCGTTGCGAGTGGAGTTTTGCGCCAGGTACTGGCACTCGAGACGCACGGCGCTAAGGAAAAGATGTGAGCCACTCCCTGCTTTCCCCCTTTCTCTTGCCTGCGTGGGCGGCCTCCGCGCGCACGAGCGCTCCGCCCGCCTCCATGGAGCGCGCAGGGCCGTTGGGCAAACATAGCCTCTTAACATGTGCTCACACCATGTATATACGGGTACGGACCGTTCTTATCCGCACTTCAATACTCTTAGTGCGTCGCATATCATAGGAACAACAGTTTCCCCATTGAGCGTATATGGGTGCTCAATAATTTGTTTGGCGTATGGCAGCATGCTCTCCGATTGCCACGGTACGCGTTTAGCAGGCATAGTGGTGCGTCATTTCGCAATTTCACACGCTTCACCATCAGAAAAGCATGTGCCATTACATTTGCGAAAAGCCGAAGCTCATGATCGGAGAGCGCAACGAAATGCCAACCAGGTTTGAGTTCCATGAACACGAGGGATTGTGGTTCTAAGGTTGTGGCGTGACCATGGGCATGAAACAGACTTCCTCTTCCCAGCACGTGCGTTTGGATGTGTTTGTTGTATTGCGTTTGGGTTATAGTGCAGATGTACCCTCATTTTTCCTGTCGGGCGACTTCTGGTTCATGGTAAACCTGCACCCCGTTGCCCACCCAATACGGTACCCGCACCAAGTGCTCAGCACGCACACGGAACAGCTTTGCACTTGCAGCGTGGAGTTCATGTGAAGCGTGTGATGAATGTTTGCTAAGTGCGCCAAATCACGTGTCTTACATTCCAACACGACCGCGCGTTCTGGCAACAGTCGGTTTATTCATTGTGCATGATTGCATGTGCGTGCGTGCAACAACACAAACATGAGTACGGAGTAACTGCCGAATTTCGTTTGGCCGTTATCCATCATGCGTTGCGAAAGTTGGTTAGCCATCGCGCACGATGGAGCAGCGAGCACAGTGCAACAACCGCTGTTTTACCATATCGGTGTTCGTTGTATTAGCAGCATGTGATTTGGACCCCACAGGTGGTTATCGAGAGCAGCGGCGAATGTTGCTTTTGTGGGCTTCTCTCGTAGCATATTTGTACTGGTTCTTGCTGACCAAGCCTCTGGGAGGGGCAATCCCGTTCACCCTGACTTTAAAATGTCGACTTGGAAAATAGGTTGCAGCGGATCGATTCCTTGGACGGACATCTTGGAATGCATTGAACAGGCACGTCCGTCATGTGTAAAGCAGGTCACATGTGCGATTTGTCAGCGAAAGGCACTGAGCAGGTTCAGTGATCACTCGCATTCCGAGCGCAATTATGAAGCGAGTTCCCCGTCCCCCTCAACCAGGGAAAGATACGTTCACGTGTCTATTTTGCGTCTCTTTTCGTTCCGCCTCGTCTATCCGACACGGACAGGTGTTTCTCAATCGTGGCTCAGTCTGGCAAGACCCTGTCCTGTCTCCGAGTCGATCGAATTCGAACACACGCCGACCATGTAGTATTCTTCCAGGGATGGCTCCGCTCGTGGCGTCTCATTCGATCCGATTTCTAGCGGCTTCTGTGGATGTTTGATTGTACGCATTTGGGGTCAGGAGAAGGTTTGGAAAATATCAGGACCAGAGGCGAGGGCGGAAACGTTGGCGCCACAGGTGAGTCGTTGGGGGCGTTTGGTGTGCCGAGCTGGGGGTCGCAGACCGTGTTCCCTGACGCGGTATTCGGTCACAGATGTCTCGACCGCGCATCTGGTTTCAGCGCAGATGTTACCGGGATTTGGGTTGCCCACATGGACAAATGCAATTTGCATTATGTTCTCAGTCTGGGTTTCATGTTGCCCATCATCGTTCTGCTTTTGGCTCGCTCGCGCAGACGTCCTTCGTCTCGAGTTGCGCCTGTCTTCCGACGAGCCTAATGGTAGTCACATTCGGCCGCAGAGACGTGTTTGTCATGTGGGCATGCATTTTATGTCAGGTGCGTGCGAAGTTCGCGGTTCGTTGCTCGAGTGTCGGCTTGTATTGGTTAACACGTTGTGCACAGTGTGGTATTGTTTTTGTCGGTGTACGAAAGTCGTTGCTGCTTCAGCCGTTGCTTATAATATCTAATTGTTGGGGGGGTCCATTTGCATGTGTATGCCAGGTTCCAGGAAGTTCGCGGCGTGGTGGATCATACAGTCTTCGTAGTCGTGTCCATCTGTGTTTTGCCGTTGTTGTCTCGGTGGGTGGGGTGGGCAAGGTGGCGCGACATTTACCAATAACATGTGATTATGTTTCTGCCCAGACGTCTCGCTCGAGTCCGCAAGTCGTGCCACACTTGGAGTAGGATGGCGTTCAAGGTTGCACATGATCCAGACCGTTAGAAGTTGTTTCCTCGCAACGGACATGCTGTGCGCCAGCCCCCAGCATGCTGGTTCGGTGTAATTTGATGGCCTCGTCTATGCATGCGGCCCAGGATGAGTAGCAAATGAAGACTAAACGACTACGATGTTCAGCATCGACGCCGCTTGAGTACAATATGTTAGAGGTCCACTACCGGGTAGCTTCCAGATTGCTGCGATTTTGCAAGGGATTGCGTCGGCGGGCAAGTCTTGCACACGCAGCCTCCACCAACCAAAAGACGCATAAGAAGACTACAGCGCTACTCTCATGTTGGCACCAGATGTTTTGCTCGCACGGGAGGGTGTCCGGAATCTGATTTCTGTTTCTCATCATTGAGGAACGTTGTTTCTGACAAGTGCCCGAGAGTGTCAAGCCTCGCTACGTAAATTTCGATTATGAATGCATTTGACGAGGCTTGGCCGCTGCATGGCGTAACGCATTGCACATTCGCTGATGGTGGCCGCGGTCGTCGTGTCGATGCAATGTTTACAGACAACTACTCAGGCGTGCACCGCGCCATATTTGTTGCCAGAGCTGGTGGCCAGGCAGTTGCACAACTATCCCACGATTTATTTGGCCGCCGACCATCCGACCTTCTTTGCAGTACGGATGGTCGTCATCGGAACCACGGTGATCTTCTGCTGCAGCGCAACTTCTTGGCGATGCCAACCGCCACTTGTTTTTCCCAACCATCCTGTGGTGTTGAGTCCTCGTTTTGAAGAGACGGCGTCCCGCGTTTCCTCTCCTTTCTGTCCTCCTCCCCTCCTCCCGCTCCTCCCTCCTTCAACCCATGCACCCCTTACACGCTTCGTGGCCCCATAGGGAATTCCACCGAAGGCCCCAGTGGCAAGGTTCGCATGGGCCCCATGAGGAGCTCCGCCGAAGGCCCCAGTGGCAGAGTTCCCATGCGGTTCCACCCGCATTTCGGCATACCTCTTACACGCTTCGTGGCTCCATGGGGAGCTCCACCGAAGGCCCCGTAGACAGGGTCGCATGCGGTTGCACCCCGAATTTCGGCGCACACAGACACACACACACACACACACACACACACACACACAAACACACACACACACACACACACACGAAAGAGCGTGTTCTACCGCTGCTGGCGGAAAACCGGGCGGGGGTCACTACCGGTTCGAACCCCTCCCCCCCCCCCTCCGGAAAACCGGGGGGTTCGGGAAAAGGGGGGGGGGTCACTACCGGTTCGAACCCCCCCCCCCCCCCAGTTCATCATGAACCCGAACCCCCCCCCTCGAGCTCGAAAACCGGGGGGGGTCACTACCGGTTCGAACCCCCCCCCCCTCGAAAACCGAGGGGGGGTGCGGACAGTGGTGGGGACGGTGGTGGTGGGGACAGTGGTGAGGGGACAGCGGGACAGTGGTGGGGACAGTGGGACAGTGGTGGGGACGGTAGTGGTGGGGACAATGGTGAGGACAATGGTGGGAACAGTGGGGACAGTGGGACAGTGGTGGGGACGGTGGTGGTGGGGACAGTGGTGTGGGGACAGTGGGAATGTGGTGGAAACAGTAGGACAGTGGAGGGTACAGTGGTGGTGGGGACAGTGGTGAAGGCGGTGGCGAGGACGGCGGTGGGACAATGGGACAGAGGTACAGTGGGGACAGTGGTAGGGACAGGGGGGACAGTGGTGGGAACAGTGGGACAGCTCAGTGGTTCGAACCGGTAGTGACCCCCCCCTCCGGTTTTCGAGGGGGGGGGGGGTTCGAACCGGTAGTGACCCCCCCGGTTTTCGAGTTCGAGGGGGGGGGGTTAGGGGAGGGGGGGGGTTTTGCCAGGGGAAGGGGGGGGGAGGGGTTCCAGCAGGGGGGGGAGGATTTTCGTCGGAGGGGGGGAGGGGGGGGGGGGGACCCCCGGGTTCCGGAGGAAAAGGACGGCAATTTTCCATAGTAAAGCGGCGGTGGATCACGCTCTCTCACACACACACACACACACACACACACACACACACACACACGCACTCACGCACGCACGCAAACGCATACGCACACGCACACGCACGCACACGCACACGCTGCTGCGAACGGCGCAGTTGTCGCCACGTTCGTGGCGCCTTTGGGGGGCACGGCGGAGTCGCGGAGTACAGTGGAGGCCCGCGCCAAGAAACACCCTGCTTGCCTCCAGGGTGCCATGGGTTTCTTGGGCTTCGAGATGGTTTGCTCTGGAAGGTGCGACGCTCCCACGCCAAAACTCAATGAGCATCCTGGGTTCTCAGGGTTGGGTTTCTTGTGGAAGGTTTCTTGTGGTCGGGCCCCTACAGTACGCGGACCCAGATGGGACCTCGCTGCTCCTTAGGGGGCTGCAGATTGCGCCATTGTCACCACTTTCGTGCGCTCCTTGGAGGTCTGGCGGAGTCGGAGGCCGCACGCACCCATTTGAGACCTCGCTGCTCCTTGGTATGCCTATCACTTCGCAAGCGTCGCCATGTTCGTTGGCTCCTAGGAGGTTCAGCGGAGTCGGGGGCTGGGGTGGAGGGTAGGAGTATGTTAGCCAGCGTGGACCCCAAACAGTGATGTCTTGCAGTCCATGCGGTGCAATCTAGGTGGTGCAGCCAATCTGGTGCAATCTAGGCGCCGAGCCGTCCGGACCGCCACCCAGGCCTGGCGGCGATGGCAACGATGGGTGGCGACGAGCCCGCTGGACCGTCACCATATGTACACGTTCTATGTAGTGTGAGCAATCGACTAGACTTCAATCGATTGCATTGCAATCCATTGGATTGCAACCGATTGGGATTGCAACGCGGAAGAAGGCCCAAACGATGGGCGGCGACGAGGCGGCGACAGTGCGGCGACGGCGCGTAGATAGCCGCCAGACCGGCCACACGGCCTGGACGACGGGCGGCGACGAGGCGGCGACGGAGTGGCGACGGCGAGCACATAGCCGCCAGACCCGCCCCACGGCCCAGACAACGGGCAGCGACGCGGCGGCGACGGGGCGGCGACGGCGAGTGCCAGGCCGGCCACACGGCCCAGTCCCTTAGAGCACAAGGCAGAACCCCCAAGTGCAAATTTTGTTTGGGTACTAAGGAATACGGGTGAGTAGAGAAGAGATAAAGGTTAGGGTCGGGTAGGGTAGGGTAAGATAGAGTGTAGAGTAGGTTCGAGTAGAGCAGAATAGAGTAGAGTAGAGCAGGGTAGATGGCAGAGTAGAGTCGGGTAGAATAGAGTAAAGTAGAGTAGAGTGGAGTAGAGTCCACCCCAGACAAGTCCAGTCTGCTCCAGCCTAGTCTACTCCAGTCCGCTTCGTTTCAGTCTTCTGATGTGCTTGGAGCCTGCGCTGGTGGATACTTTCTGAAATCGTGCGAGTACCCAGCTACCCGGTGATCACCCCTAACAACAGACAAGGCGCGGCGGACATCACCAGGCAGTTGGGTTGCAGCACATGATGTGACGTGGATGGTGGCCGGCCGTGTGAAAACCGAAGGCAGAGCGGGCAGCGGCCGGGTTGCAGTGAAGCGGATAAAAGAAATGGACGTTGCCAGGCAGTTATGCAAGCCGTCGCCGTTCCCCGATGGGCCGCGTGGGCAGCGGCCAGGGTGGCGACGATGGAATGAGAAAGCTGTGTGGTTCAACGCAAGTGCCCATGCACGGAACCACTCGTTACCACGGGGGGACAGACACGCGCAACCCCATGGAGCAGAAGCGGATTCACTGAGCTTTAGCTGGTGGAGGCGAGCTCGACGCCTACATGCGAACAAGACTCGTCAAAATTGATCATCGGATGCTTGTACCCGGTACTTGTGTGGTAAGCGTTACTCCGACGTTGGCACCAGATATTTAACTCGCACGAAGGGGTGTCCGAAATTCGACTCCCCTTTCTCATCAGAGAAGAGCGCGCTCTCTGACACAAGCCCACGAGTATCGAGTCCCGCAACACCCAGTGGCGTTGCTGAATACCGTTGGCGAGGTTTGTTGGTCAGCCTCATTCTCGACTTAATCTGTTCCGAAGGGATCTTACTTTTAAGTCAGGAGGAAAATTCAAAAATAGGCAAGAAATAGCCTGGGGACGATTTCTTACTATTTTTGCCTATTGTTCGAGTCTTGTTTGGGTATCTTTCGTTTTTCGTCAAATCCGCCTGTGGGGGGACATGCCCGACCTAAGCTTACTTGTTTGGTGCCCTGGTGCCTGAGGCCGAATCCTGGCGGTTCCCAGGGGTCCCCCCGGCGTTTCTCCGAGGTTATTGCCCCTCCAGGCCTTCCGTGTTCGGGCCCCCCAGGCACGATGCTACGGCATACGGCATGGTAGGCAAGAGCACGCCATGTTGGGCAATGTTATGCCAGGCTATGTCAGGAAATGGCATGCTCTGCTGCGCCATGCTACGCTATGCTATGAGTTGGCATGCGATGCGATGATTAAAGTACGACTACGTACTGATCCGATGTGATGCACAATGCAAATGCCATTATGTGTGACGGTGTTCCTTGACGTGTCACGCAATGGTACCAATGATATGTAATGTTTCACTATGGATCGTAACGCTATACAGCGAAGCTTCATGCGATGTAACCGTTTACAACCAGATGCTACGCATTGCTATGCAATGCAAGACTGCACAACGCTGATGCGTACTCGGTTATGTGGTTTGCGTTGCTACGCTCCGTTTTGATGTTCGTTGCAATGCGTTGCATCGTGATGCATAACATTACATAGAATTTGCAGGCATGCAGCAAATAGAGCACCCCTCATCGGGGTTGCGCTTGGGTCATTGCATATCAGGGGTGTTGGTTATGCAATTGCTCGTGGGCGATGGTGAATTCTTGTTGAGCTCGGGCGAATATCATTACACGTGCTCTTCACAATAGACATGTTATACCGTACATGCGCATATGATGGCGATGTTCTATTCTAGCGAAGTATACGTAGCGTTGCTTGCCTAGTCTGTTCAGCTTACCCAGCGCATCTAGAATGTTGAGCCGTGGGTGCATATCGGCTTGTAGTTTTAAAGGGTGTGCGAAAAGAGTTGAGAGCCAACTAGAGCACGCTTCCAGTTGATCGAGTCCAGGATGCGCCCGGCCCTAGCATTTCTGTCATTCGTGCATTTGTTCGGGGATCGTACGGTGTTGATGGTTGCAACGCATGCAGCGTTCATACAGCACTTGCGGTTGCCAAGCTCAGCCAAATAGTCGTTGGCGTTGGCATTGCGGATATAGTTCCAACCAGTTGGGGCGGGCAGAGAAATTACATTGATGAGCACGTGCGATTGCCAAACATGATACATGTAGCTGTGTCCATTCGAAGAACGTACGAAGGTGAAGTCACCGTGCCCATGCTGCAGGATCCAGGTAATTGTGCCGTGCTGTACGAGCAGAAATCTACACCGAATTGTATTAGCACGTGCCGTTGCGTTCTTCACATGCATGTGCCGATCACGTTTGTCTGTTTCAGTCTTGATGTTTATGTCTTACCGTCAGCCCGTTCTTTTGAGAGTGGCGAATCAAAAGAGGGGAGGGATACCACGATATCTTTTCTGGGCTCCTTAGGGAGCACAATCATGGGCTGCATCATTGGTCTGCAAGCAATCGACATGTGCTTCGACTTGGCGATCATCAACAATAGCGACGTGTCAGACGGCAGCATAATGATTGAAGCTCGCAGAGTTGCTTACTTGTATCCAATCGGCTGTGCCTGCACGCTCCATCTCCCGATAACAAGTTAACACATTGTCGGTGTAGTGACAGCGCGGGAAGAGGAGGAGGGAGGAGGAGGAGGAGGAGGCTCCTGATGTTGGGAGGGAGAGGTGGGCATGTCTGTTGTGCGAGAGCCGTGTTTCTCCACGTAGGTCTGCCTATAAGATTCCTAGCCCCATCCATAGAGATTCCATGGCCCTTGCAGTTGCGGATAGGAGTGAGGGGGCGGCGGGCGTCGGCAGTCTGCAAGGTTCTCAAGAGGCTCGCCGCAGACGCCGATGTTTTACACTACACAACGAGCCCGCCGCAGGCGCCGGAGTCGTCAAAGCAGTGTCGGTGGGTCGCAGGTTGGTCGCGGGTGGGTCGCGAGCGGGTCCCGAGCAGGTCGCGGGCGGGTCACGGGCGGGTCGCGGGCGAGGACGACGACAACAGCAAGAATAAGTCTAATAGTGCTCGTGTGTCGTTGCTCGCGTGTCACTCAACGCGTATACGCCCAGGCCCCCGATGCCCGCCATCTTCGCCTTCAATCGTACCCTCTCTGGGCGTGTGTCTCCCTTGCCCGCCACGTGTGGTCGGCGCGGCCGCTAAAATAGGAAGAGGAGGAGGGAAATGGGAAAAGGGAGACAGCGACGAAAGGACGCGGAAACGACATCGGATGGGCGAGGAGGACTGTCAGGAGGGAAAAAAAAAACAGACACAATGAATCGTCGACCCCCAGGAGAATATGGGAAAATATGGGAAGTGGGGGGGAAGACAAAGACCTAGAACAGATGGGAAAATATGGGGAATCCTTTTCTTTGTGTGCATTCACTTGTGTGTCCCAGGGCCCCTCCAGATTGAGGGCGAAGAACGGGAAGGAGATGGGAGCAACAGGTCTGACGAGCGGGCCCTTCTGAGGGGTCAGCCCCGACGGGTGGGCCGGGCGGGCGGACCCCGGCGGGCGGGCCGGGCGGGCGGGGCGTCAAAGCGGCCGGGCGGACTTCCAAGCAGGCGGGACGCCAGACCCCGACGGGCAGGTCGGGCGGGCGCGCCCTCACGGGCGGGACGGGCGGGTAGTTTCAGCACCGACGCAAGCCTCACGTCGCGCTCGAGAGGAATTCGTGGCCCTGGGGGACGTGCACGTTGCTCTTCTTGCACGCGTCCTTGCAGACCTTGACGGCCTGCAGGTTCAGAAAAAAAGTAAATGCTCCTCCATGCGCTCCCCTACTCGAACAGGCGGCTCGGGCGGGCGGGCCCTCCGACGGGCGGGCCGGGCGGGACACTGAAGCATGCAGGCGGGCCTCGAGGCAGGCGAACGGGCGGACCCTGATGTAAAACGATACGAAGATCGGGACAAAATCGGATCGGGACAACTCGAAATCTCTGAGAGTCGGCGGGTTTTTTTGAGGATGTATTGGGCGCCGCGGCCGCTCCAGAGCGTTCCGGAACGCTCTGAGAGCGCTCCGGAACGCTCTGGAGCGATTTATCCCGATCCTAGCCCTGTTTTATGACGGGCGGCTCGGGCGGGCGGACGCCAACGGGCGGGTCGGGCGAGGAGAGATTGAGGCAACTGCTGTAGGGCGTGTGCAGAGGCCTCAGGCGAGAGCACGATTCTCGAGTGAGTTATATATGGGGAGCCCCGCGCGGGAGAGCGCGGTTCCTGGGCGTCTGGGGTGCGGCGCCCGAAGAAAGCGCAGGGAAGGCTCCCGCAGGAGCGCGCGTCCTCTCATAGATTTGTGAGGCGGTATCGGGGCGGGAGCCGTGGCAGGCAAGGAGGATCCGCCCCACAGGGGGTAGCGGGTATCGAGGGTTTGGGGGGGGGGGTATATATATATATATATATATATATATATATACATACATATATATATATACATATATATATAGATATATATAGATAGATAAATAAATAAATAAATATGTGTATATGTATATACATCTGTATACATGCATGCATGTGTTGAAGGACACGCGAGCGACGAAGGGTGCACAGTCTTAAGGCGCATGCTGTTGCAAAACGGGGCCCAACCCTTTTTTCCCGATGGAAGACCCGGTGCGAGCCCCCAGAGGGCGTCTCAATCCCAAAAAAAGATTGGGCATCGGATGGGGGCGATCAACTATACTTCTTCTGCACGTTCAGAAGTGAGAATTCAACCAGCAACAGCAAGAATCTGCACCGCGGAAGCCCACTCTAGGCGTGCACCCAGGGATGGTGTGAGACCGTTCGGCCCTCTTTCTCCGACAGGAGGTCCTTGCATGATTGGGGGGTATTCAGTTGGCTTCCGAGGCCCCCTGGGAGGCCCCGAAAGTTCGATCAAAGCGCACCAACATGACACCGTGCAAGCTGAGGAGAGTCCCAACACGGTGCAGCAGGGCCCCAGAATGGCCCGAAGCGAGCCACATGACGGCCCAAGATGCCCCAAGTCGCCCCCCAAAGCACACACAATCGTGGCCTGGTCGTTTGGGGAGATCGTGTTTGCCAGCAAGGTGGCCCAAAGAAGCCCCCAGAGGCCCCCCAAACGCACCCAGGAGGCCACCGGAAACCTTTTAAGAAGCCTCGAAGAAGCCTCCGTGAGGCCCCCCAGGGTCTCTCCAAAGAGGAGCTTGCGTAACAAACAGTTTAAAAGGAAGACAGGGAGTGGTTCGCATGGAAAGCGAGAACGAAAAGGGGAAGAATAATTTTAGGAAAGGGAAGGAGATATTATGACTCTGTTCTTGTCTCTCTCTCTCTCTCTCTCTGTATGTCCGCTTGCATGCGAAATTTGAAGGGCCACGGTGCATGGCGCGAAGCGCCATGGCAGTTCTGCATGTGTAAAATGTTTGAATTGTTCAGAATGTGTACAGTCATAGTGCTAGTGCACACGCGCACCGTGAAACCAGGCAGCACGTTGTTGATCAAGGACTCTCGCCCAACACCCCTCAATGTGTTTTCTGTTGGCAGCGATGGCACTGATTATCCGTCCAGGGTATGAGTTGGTGGGCGAGGTTCTGGCGGCAAACGAAGGGCAAGCTATAGCTTTCGAAGGCGCAGGATCTCACGGCTTGGCCGAACTTGTTGACAAGACGCCGGCGGATTATCACAGGGTGTTGAACGCCTCGCACGTGAATGGATTGCTGTTGGAAGGGAAAGTGGCATTCGAAGGGGAGTGCCAGTGTGCGATTGTTTCATCATTCAGTTGAACATGATCTGCCATCAACACATGCTTTGAAACATCACCATGGCGCTTTGTGAGCGTTGAGCCTTTCCTCACATGTTCGCCACTCTCGCGTTCGCCTTACGTTGCTTATTGTGCGTTCGCTTTCTCGCTCTCTCTCTCTCTCTCTCTCTTTCTCCCTCTCATTGTAAATATGTGTATGTACATATGTGTGCATACACGCAGATCTCTCTTTATATGTGT